GTGTTTGCTCCGCAAGCCTCATACCTGCTTGCTAGCACAAATGGGAAACGGCGCGGGTTCTGTATTTTTGTTTGTGTTTGTTTTGTTTTGTTTGAATGTTTGGTTAAGAATCGCATTTCCAGCTTGCCCTTGGCTTCTCTTCTGGTGTAAGGAACATTGCTGTAAAACTTCTCTTGGGGCCAGGCTTCAACAGGAAATGAGCCCGTGGAGATTTACATTAAGTATGTGCAGTCATCCCGGGTTTGTAACAGTTCTCTGCAAGCTCGTGTTTCTTTTTCGGAGAATCCAACCCATTAATTTGTTAGCGATTACGTCGATTAATACATTGGCTTGTCTAAAGTATATTCGACTTTAAAATGAGCCTTTGCGGTCTCAGTTGTCTGTGCTGGCTCAGACTTCCTTGCTCTAGGCATGTTTTAACCCTATCACTTCTGTAAGAACCCCTAAACATGTTGCTACAATACTTCCAGTCCCTCAAGACATGCCTGTGAGAGGAACAACAAGGGAATTAAATGGTGAGTTCTGGTGAAAGAAAGCACTGGTAATCTCTCGGAGTCCCTACTTTGCCCACCTTTAAAACGAAGTGGTTGAGCCAGAAGACCCCACCATTCCAGCCTACACCACTGATTTAAAACAAAATCCCAGAAGCCCTGGTGGTGAAGGGGGTTGTTGCTAACATCAAGGTCAGCGTCTCAAAACCGTCAGCCGCACTGGGAGGAAGAGGAGACTTCCCGCTCCCGTGAAGATGTAGGGTCTTGGAAACCCACAGGGGAAACCTTATAGGGTCGCTGTGGATCATAAACGACTCCTTGGCAGTGAGTTTGGTTTTGAATTTTAGAACAAAATCCTTATTTTATTAATCCAGAAACTTGTCAGCTTGTGCTAGATATAAAGCTAGATATACTCCTTTGGTCAAATTACTCTGTGATTATTGACTTCAACTGAAATCATATGGGTGCAGGTTAAATCCCATTATAACGATTGGTTCCACTTCACATTGTTCAAACTCTCAACTCTTGGCCCACTTAAATAAGAATCAACGCAACAGAAAGCACCTGGATGGTGTACGGTGGCGTGTCTCCAACTTCACCTAGAACTCACCCCAGGATCTTGTTACAGTGCAGATTCTGATTCCGGAGTTAGGGAATGGGATTCTGCCATCTGCATGTCTTGTAAGTGATGGCCTACTTGTTGCTGTGGACCACGCTTGGAACATTGAGGGCTGGGAGATAACGTTGAAGGGATTTTAAAGATGGTTTACATGACGGTTTAAAGATCCATGCTGATAGCTGTGATATTGGATGCATAGGGATGGCTTTTTCCAACTTGCAATTAAAAAGAAAAATTATCCTATTCATTCTACCGAAAGCAAATCTCTGTACAAACCCTCCCCCATTCTTTCCCTATGTCTTTCTCCTTTCCCGTTCCTTCTTACTCTGCTGTGTTCGCTCAGCTTTCTGCCCTCTCATTATCTGCGACCCTCAGCCGTTTGCCTTCTCATTAATCAGCAAGTAATTCACCCCTTCAACAAGTTTATCCCATCCTGAGTAAAGCAGCCTTAGGCTCATGATGAATACAGACATTTGGTTCTTGGGGGATCTTGCTCTCGATGGGGAGATTGGACATTGGCACCTGTTTATAGAACAGCTGATAGAACCACCTGTAGGGAATAAACACGATGGTATTTTCAGGTACAAGGAACCTGGTGGTTAGGTACTTGTATGGGAACAACAACAACAACAAAGGTCAGTGGTTTGTGTGGCAGTCTGCTTCCTTCTGTTGAGGAATACAGCCTTGGAAATACCACGGGGCAGCTTCCCTCCGTTAGACAGGGTCAGAATGAGTTGGAATCAACTCGATGGCAGTAAGTTTGGGTTTGGTAGGAGTTCAGACAGTGACCTTTTTTGGCTGGGGGTGGGGAACAGAGATAAATGAAGTAATCCTTTTTTCAGTCACTGGTCATCTAGGCTGTATACATTCTTTACTTTTTGAGTGTATGTGACATTAGACTACAGCACGACTTTGTAAATGTATTTTATTTGGAACAGAGTGTGAGCGGGGCACATGGGAATCCATTCCATTTGAGCAATAGCATAGGGAAGGTGCAAAGTCCTGGGATAACAATGTGTGATTTGAGCCCAACAGAGGGAAGCGAGAAGGCGAAAGGAAACAGAGCTTGATAATTGGGAGAACCGATGGGGAAGGGGCTCACTAGGGTTTCTGGTGACAGTTTGAATGACATCCCTGCTCTGGCTACTTAGTAACCAGTACTAACAGCATGGCCTGGAGCGGGGTTTTTAACCGCTGTCTTTTACAAATCCGATGACCATTCTTTGTGCTTTTCAATTGTTCTTAAAATGAAACATGTGCGGATTTCCTCTTGATTAGAATCATTGAGGGAGGGCCCTGTTCTCCAGGCTGGCCGTGCAACAAAAGCAATAGCAACCTCCGTCACCAGCATTCCACGCTGGTTTGATGTTCATGCTTTAAAACCGCAGCATCAAATCAGACCAAAAGGAAGGTGGTAGAAATTCTGTTGGACCTTTAACGCTCTATCGGATACAAATTAAATTTCACATTGCTCTTTGTGAGAAAATAGAAAGATGAACATCTGTTCATTCCTATAAAGAGTTACAGTCTCAGAAACCCACAGGTGTCGTCCTCCTCTGCCCTGTCGGGTCGCTGTGAGTCAGAGTTGTGTTTTTTGAGTGAGATTCGAATATCCATCTATGTGTCTACCCATTCAGCCATTTGAAAAATAAAAACGACCCAAAGTAGTGAATACTTGAAAATGCATGTGTGGTGTTCTCCAAATCCACCTGAAACACAGTCATAAACCTGTCTCCAAGCAGTGGGCTGCTTTGTTTTTGTTTTCTTTAGTTGAGGTAAGGTCAACCTTCTTAGGCACACACCTGCAGTGACAGTTTACCTTGTATCTTGTGGTGGTGTGTGATGTTGAGTGGCTCCTGAGACACTATCTTGACCGCAGTAGCGGATCACTAGGTCTTTTCTCCCACGGAACAGTTGGTGGATTCAGACCTCCCACATTCAAGTTCTCAGCCAGGCGTTTAACTGCTGCACCACCAAGCCACCTCACACACCAAAACAGGATAAAAAGTATCTATCTGCTTTCCTCCCATCCAAACGGTTCTCTAGCCGTTTCCCTAATTCGCCTCTAAAACAACCACTTTCAGACCTCTAGCACCATGGTGTGTTTTACTTAGCCTGGCACTTCATCTGTGGAATTGTACAATCTGCTTTTTTGGAATCTGGACTTAATTTGCTTGATAGAATGCTTTCAGGATCCCCGTGTGTTTTGGGATATATCAGTTGTTCATTTTAATTACAGTAGTATAAAGAACCCTGGTAGTGTGGTGGTTGCTTTGGGCTGCAATCCACATGGTTGGTAGTTAGAACCCATCAGTAGCAATTTGAGAGAAAGACGAGGCTTTCTACTCCCCTAAGCAGTTAGTCTCAGAAAACCCCAGAGGGCCACTGTGAGTTTGGTTTGGTATTCTGGTGTATGAATATACCCCAAGTTGTTGATCGGTTTTATCTTGGTAGGCACTTGGGTTAGCTCCAGGTTTGGGCTGTTATTAATAAAGTTGCTGTGAACATTCTTGTACAGTCTCTTGTGGACATGCTTTTATTTTCCTTGAGTGGAATTACTGAGTCACAGGGTCGATGTTCAAAGAAGCTTCAAGTTTGTGGGGGAAAAATGAATTAAAAGGCC